AATGCAAATTAAGCCACATTATGTAACATAGTTAATAATTATTATTAATAATTATTAATTTATTTATGATAGCCAATTTGATACTTTAATTGCATATCTATTACAAGGTTTACAACATCAATGGTGTCCCCCCTTGAGGCCCAGAATTGTTACCTACATTAATGGTGCCCCTTGGTGAGGCCTAATATTGTTGTTCCCAACACTGATGACATACCTTAAAAGTGAACTCAACTCAATGGTCTTTAACACCGGTCTCCTGGGGAAAAGTCCTGTGTTTGTTTGACCCATCCACCCCCCTAATCTGCCTCCTCACACAGCCTTCCACTCTTTATACTACGCTCTTCTTTACTCGTGTCAGCCCATTGGTCATGTGATTGCAGCCTTTCCGATCACGTGGGTTATACACAAATACTGGCTCAGGATTTCATGGGTTATATAGGAATTGTGGTGCATTACTTTTCATAGACAGTTCATGAGAACAGCCTGCGGAAGTAGGGGTGTATATATACACAGTACCAGTCAAAAGTTTGGACACACTTTCCCATTTACTTGAATGAAAAAGTGTGTCCCAACTTTTGACTGGTACTGTATATATAAATATATATATAAACACAACCTGTCAGGATATGTCCCCAAAACAAAGGTAAGAGCCAGGATGTATTTATCTTTGGTGCAATTTATGAATCCAATTACTTTCACCCTGTCTGAAAATGTTTTAAAATACAGTCTATTTGAGCACATTCTTTCACAGAGGGGTGGGCGTTAGGATTTTTAAATCTTACAATGGTGATTTAATACAGCATTGATCAATATTTTTCAAAGAACAAAGCAGTACATGGAAAAAATACTTCCTGAATAATGTGAAAGCAGTCACAGTTAGTGACAAAACCACAAAGAATTGTCACCCAACTACATAGTTTGGTAGCTAGTTCCCCAGCATTGTTCAGTTTTCTGTCACAGTTTTACCAACTCGTCAACTAATTATTTGGAGCTGCAGCAGGCAGCTGTTTTCAGCAAAAACCCACTGTATACAATCTGCTCAGCCCCCAAAACAGACAGATATAGTTAGAGACTGGTGAGCACAGTGGAGTATTTAACAGCTAAAGAGCCAGATGTTGAATATTAGTTTTGGAGTGCACTGAGATCAGAACAGTCGGTGGTGCTAGTTTTCCAGTGGGGTTCCATTAAACCACTGCAGAAGAAGAGTGCACAACAAGATGATGTAAATAAAAGGGTACCAGTTGAACCTCAAACCCACAAAAACAAACAAACAAAAAAACATTGTGATTTCATTTTGTCTCATTTAGCTTTTTATGGATTCACCAAATTTTCCAACTCAATCTTTTCATGATACCTTGACCTTTTAAAATTTTCCACTCAGGTTTTTTAATTCATAAATTTATAATACATATATGAATAGGTGGGTGGAACTATAGGCAAAAGTTGAAATAACCATGATTTGGAAAGAGTGGTCTTCAAAGCAAAGACAACATGAAATGTAGGTGTGGAGGTCAAAGGTCACTGGTGACATTTACTCATTTAACTCTTAACCATTTTGACCATAGTTTGTAAAAATCCAGCTATTAAAGTAGAGAAAAGGATGGAGGACAAGGTGGTGTGGCACCTGTTTAATGCATGAGGCTTGCTGGAGGCGTGGTTTTGAATGTAACTACTTCCATCGAACACTGGTTTAGTAACACATGGTGCCATTGCCTAATGATGGGTGTTTTCATCCAACAAAATCTTTTTTTTCCTAAAAGGTGGGCAACACTTTGATACGCCTCTGAATGATTTCTTCTGTGACCTCATACATGGCCATTTGTCAGTTAAGTGGCAGAATAAACATAGCATTGTTGCCAGTTCCATTAAAAGATATCCTGTGGAGTTTTTGACCATTAGTAGAGCTGGAGGTATTTTTTTAAGAGCAGGTCCCCATTTTATTTTTTAACGTGTATGCGTCACACATTCCTGCCACTGGTTTTATGTTGTTCCTCTGATGGACAGTACCTGGTGTAATGCACCATAAAATGTAGCAATGTAACAACAAACAGCAAAAAAAGGAGACTTCCAGCTAGCAAACACAAACAGAAACAGGTTTAAAATAAAGTCCAAAGTTAGAAATCCTTTCTCCTTGGTGCTGTGGGATGATAACATAGTAGAATCGCACAGCAGATGATGGCATCTTTTTCATGCTTTCATGCTGTAGCTGGTGTTCTCGGTCAGTCTGTCCCTCCGGCCCATTCTCCTGATCGTGATATCTCAAGAACACCTCAAAGGACTTTTTTTTTTCAAATCCAGCACAAACATCCACTCTTTTTTTTTTTTTTTTTAATTTATTCATACATGCTTGTCATGTTTCCTCAATGTTCTTACTATTTTGTCTGTCTTGTCCTCATTTTTCTTCTCCTAATGTTTTGTATTTATGTTTTTAATGCTATACAGTAGGCTGTATAACAATGGAACGTGTAATGGTGACCACATGATTTTCCCACTTGTGGGATAATAAAGTTTACCCTGACCTTGACAAACATCCACTCAAGGATTAATTGATTGGATGCTGCTGGTCAAAGGTCAAGGTCACTGTGACATCAACCCTCTTATTCCCTTAAATGCAAAACCTTAAGAATACGTTGAGGGAATTTCTTTGGCACAAATGTCCGCTTGGACTCAGTGATGAACTGATTACATTTTTGGTGTCAAAGGTTAAGATCACTGTGACCTTGCACCCATCTTATTCTCATAAATGCGATACCTCAAGAAGGCCTTGAGGGAATTTACCCAAATTCAGCACAAACATCTATTTGGAGTCATTGGAAAAAGCGGTAGGAATTTGAAGGTCAAAGGTGACCTCAAAACCTGTTTTTTGTCATTATAACAAAAAAAATCATACAAATATCTAAGAGGATAAAATTAAGTGATGATATTTTATATCCAAAGGGTCAGTGGTTGACTTGACTGTGACATCATATTGTTCTGCAAAAACATGTTTCCAGTATTATTTAGTGGTAAAACTCAGGCACAGAAGGGGAGACATGTGGCTGAATGGTCCAAGGCCATTTTTCCCAGTATTTTTATTTTTTATTTTTTTAAAGATTAGTTTCCAATTTAGTACTGCCCTTGCAGATCCATTTTAGTCAATAGCATGTCCTGTTTAACCTAACATGCTAAAGTTTGTTAAACACAACCATCTGAGAAGCTGTCAATGGAAACTGTTTGGACAAAGGCAGACACTTTCAAACAATACTTGGCACCTTCTGTCTATCACCAGCTAGTCTTGAAAAGAGCAAAAAATATATATTCCATTATGACAAACCTTCAGGGTCATTCTTTGTTCCTCTTTTAATAAAGATGACTCTCCAGTTCTGATATAAGTGATGCTGTTGCAACATCTACACTAACCTCTTTAGGAGCTGCCATTGTTGTTTTGAACATTTGCCTCTTTGTTTTTTCACACATACCTAAACCCTGTCTGCAGCTGCCACTATAGCTCCTCATATGAAGCATTACTTCAAGCCAAGCCTGACAAGATGGATTTTCATATGATCTTGTGATCCTGTGAATATTCAGCTGCCGTCCAGGGAACTCTCCCATTGGCTTGGTTGATAAATCTTATGGTATGTAAACCTTACATTGTGGGTGCAAGCCTGTGGGTCAGGCTTTTAGGAGCAGTAGAGGCATGCTTGGTTCATAAAGCACAGGACGATGGATTAAAACCATCCTGTTATAAGTTAGACTTGAAGAGCTGTAAGTTTAGCAGATATGAGGTAGTGTGGCCGAGTGGTCTAAGGCGCTGGATTTAGGCTCCAGTCTCTCTGGAGGCGTGTGTTCAAATCCCACCACTGCCATTCAGTTATCGCTATCACAGGGTTTATACAGAAATTATTAAGTTGAATTTAATACTTTTTAATACCGTCACAATATTTTTTAATACCAACGCGACTTCAAGCTGCAACTGTGGTGGCAACCTTTCGAACTTCAGTGTTGGGGGTAACTAATTATAAAGTAACGGATTACTGTCATTTTCTTACTTAACTTTCTGAGTGAGTAAGTGTAATGCTTACAATTCAAATCAAGTACCTATTATTACAGTTACTAGATACTTTGTTACTTTTTTGCCTAAAAGAAAAACACTGACCTATACACAATTATTTGTTATTTAACCCTAACCCAAGACAAAAAGTTATTTCATTGTTATGTGTAGGAAGAGCACACACCACTTCTCCAGCGCTACACTCTTTCTTTCACCATCATTCTCTGTCATCTCAATGAAGACAGAATGACAAATGAAACTCAGAAAAGGTTTAAAAAGTTAAAAACAGAAATGTTTAATTAAATGAATTCAACATTTAACACATGCACAGTTCAAACAGAGAGAGAAAAACTGTCCAACACTGAGATAAAATCAGAGATGAATTGAGAGGGGGGGGTAGTTGGGAGATTCCCGCACGGCTCCATAAAACTGAATGATGTTCTTGTGACTCAGGACACTGAGAATCTCAGCCTGGATGAGGAGACGAGGAAAGGAGAAACTAGAGGGTTATGAAGAGCTTCCTTAGCTGCCAGCTTAACAGTTCCAATATCTGACACTGATGAGGAAACATGACCTTTGAGAAAATAATCATCCCTTATTGGATGTAAAGCTAAAATCTGTAGCCTTTGATTTAATCCTGACAGTGTCTCCAGGATGTCTGAACCTTTGTCATAGGACGGACCATTCACACTGCTGTGACAAACATGCTATTAATCTCAACTGACATATAGGTCATAACCTTTGCATATGTGGAATACGTAACAACACAATAACTAACCATCAATTTGATAAAATTGTACAACAACTGCAATCAAACACCAAAATATTAACAGAGGAACACAATTCTCTAACAGAAAAAAAGTCTGTTTTCCTAATACTGATTCCACGTGTACGGTTATCCGTGTGTGTGTGTGTGTGTGTGAGAGAGAGAGTTACAAGTGCCTCAACTGTGTGGCCTTTTCCTCTATTATTTTGTCCATTTGTAGCAGTTCAGCTTTTTTGTCTTTGAATCTTCTGTGAAGAGTGTTAGACTTTGTGATTAGCTCGGCCATCTTCGTTCCTGCCTTTCCCTCAGCCATGTCAGCTAACTTGTCTGCGTCTATTTGGAGTGACTCAGTCACACTGCTGAGTACCCAGCGCTTGTTCCGGAGGTCCTCAAGCTCATCCTCTGCTGCTTTCCTCTTGAGTCCTTGTGCAGCACTCTCTTTCTTTTTTCGTTCATGCTCCAGGTATAGCCTGTACTGTGACCTTGCTGAAGCAGCAGAGGCCAGGAGCTCCTTGGTCAAAGGCACTTTGAGAATGCCACCACAGCCGCTGACCTCATCACAAATTAATCTCAGTGCTTCAAGAGATTCGTCAAGAAGGTTACACGTTTCCACCTCCTTGTTAACTGAGAAGCCCCTCTCTACGGTGGCTTGTCCATGGGAGAGGAGGAGAACACTTTGGCAGAACCTTAGCAGCTCAGGGTGGGACGTGCTGAGTTTGGAGTGCAGAAAGACATCCAGACGCTGCTTCAATGGTTGAAAGCACACAAATTCTTCATCTCTGCCCTCAACAGAGAGTAAGGACGTGAACTGCTGAATGATGACATCACCTACAATATTGACAGGAAAGTTAAGATATAATTATTCATGTCAGTAATACATTCCAGTCAACTGCTTCATCATCCATTTGTAGTGTACATACATCACAGCATGACATAATAGTATCCACATAGAGCTACGAGTGCATATATTTAAATTTGGCAAAAGCAAGACATTTTCATGCTTCTCAGAGTAAAAAGGCAGAAAACCACAAATGAAATTTCTAGCACAAGACCTTAAGCAATTTGCATAACCTATCCATTTCTACTGTCCCTATACAATATTTTCTTACCAGCTGGAATGCCACCTGTCAACTGTTTTCCCTGGACGAACATTTGTACTATACTCTTCATCTGTGTGATGCACCACTCAGGATCTCTGTTCATTCTTGTGGGATCCAAACAAGCAATCTGCCTGACCACAGGGAATTTCAGGGGGACATTTTTCCTGCAGCTTCCTAACCACCTTAACCAGGCACTGCAAACATTCTCGCCTGAAGGTGAGCACAGAAAGTTCACCTATCTTGCATCCTGGTTTGCCCAGAAGCTCCTAACAAGGAACATTAAGGAACATGCATGTCAATAATTAGACAGGAAATGTTTACTTTTTAAATCTAAATCTGAATAAACTTCTTATGATGATAATAATAATACTGTACTGAACATATTGCATTTGCTGGTTGATTTGTGCAAGCATCACAATACACATATACACCTCCAAAAAGCCAAACCAAATAACCTACAACAAAATTACCTTGATGGCACACTCAGCACCCAGGCCTATGTCAAGATTTCTAAGGGAGACCCAGTTCTTCTCCTCAGACACCTCGATTTGGGTCAGCTGCCGGGGGGTTCGGTCCTGTAGGATCTCCCGTTTCACGAACCGCTGCAGTAAACTCTTATAATTACAACAAGCAGTTAGTAACCAAGTCATTCCTATCAATTGATACAGGTTAATCAAATTCTAATTAATTAATCAAAATCTTAACAGTGATAATTACCATCAAGAGCTCGGTCAAATCTTTGGCCAAAAATGGCAACACTGGCTCGTCCGTTTGGTATCTGGTTAAGAAGGGGTTAAAGCTTCTTGATATGGCAAGAAAGAACTGCAGTTTTGGGATGATAAGAGGGTCCCCTTGTGCTGCCAAGATGGTGTCGTATGAGGCCGTGCTGGGTTTTTGGACCTTCTTCTTCTCTGCAGCATCCACGTACATTTGAAGCATGGGCCAAACTGCTATTGCTCTCTCTGCCACTGGAACATTTTCTATCCATCTATGGCCGCAGAAAGGAAGGGGAAAGCAAGAGGACCTGGTGAGGTTGGTGAAGTCCTCTCTCCGGGCAGGAACATTGTGGAATAGAAAATGCATCCCTCGCAGGAGTTTTTCAAGCTGCCATGCTGTGAAGCCTGCCTTCATTGCGTTGTGGAGGGTATGCAGTCCACAGCTGCCAACATTGATGACTTGAGCACCTCCATGTAGCTCAGCGTGCTCCTTTTGAAGGAGATCCATCAGCTTAAAATTTACATTTGGGCCATCCATTCCGACTGACAGAAGTTGCCTCATGTTCAGTTGTGCAACACATTCCTGTGAACACACAGGGAAAAAAAAAAAGTTTAAAAAAAAAAGAAAAAGTTTTTTAATTAAATAAATCTGCCAATATAATAGCTACTATTACAGACGATGAACAGTAGGCTAAATCGATTAAATCATCACAAATCCATCAAAATGTTCAAATGCTTTGCATGAACATCAATGCCCCTATGTAAGATGGGGGTGTGCAAAGCATCCAGTATTTGTATTTGTATTTTTATTTGTTGAGGGATAAAAAGTATTCGTATTTGTATTCGAATAAAATTCAAATTAGGTGTAAAAATGCAGGTTTTTTGAGTAACACTTCTAATTAAGAATATGTCAGTGTAAAAACAAGTATTCTTTAATTAGCCGTTATAAGAATTATGGTTGTATATGCAATATTGGTTGTTTTTTCATAAATACAGCAATAAACATGTAACAAGGAACATCATTGAAAAGAAAATAACATACTAACAGCGATTACCTCATCAATGCTTAAACCAACAAGAAATAGATTTCCTTTGAATGAATGGGGGTGAGGGGGTTTACTGTTGGTTCTCTCTCTCTCTCTCTCTCACTCTCACACATGCACGCACACACACACACACACACACACGTGTCAGTTTTATTTTCATGGACACAAAGTTCTAATCTGTTGAACTTCATCTTGGATGGATTCACCATCATCATACACAATCCACTCTGAAGTCATCGAAATCCGGCACTTGGGCAGTGACTTGCGGCATCAGAAGCCAACTAAAAAAGGCATCTTTTAACATCGGCATGATACTCGGCCGGTTGCCGTTTTAGTTTAACAGCACCTGGCAGTGTCAGGGGGAAGTGCAGCGGGACAAGGATGAAAGGTAACGCGTCGAAAGTCCGAGAGGGGAGGGAGGGAGGTAGTGGTGGTGGATGGGTCCAACACACACTGACTTCCACTCGAGAGAGCAGTGTTCAAACCCTGTTCTTTTTACCTAAACCTAACCACTTCCTTTTGTTGCCTAAACCTAACCATGTGTGATTGATGTCAATTTGCGGTGTTGAACCGACGTTGTGCGTTTATTTTGAAAGAGACTGTGTGTTAATGTTAAATTTCCTGTTAAAACAGTAGTGTATCTTGAAAAAAGAGAACTTGACACAGTGTCCCAGAACGTCAACAACCAACACACCCAGGGTACGTTTCACGTCGTATTTGGACGTGGAAAACGTCAATATGTGATGAGGTCGGAGTGAGAATGTGTTGTCTCCAGCTATTTAAACACGTTCAGTCATAGAGAGGGGACACTGAGCTGTTGTAACATTAATCTGACCCCTGATCAGTTCAACCACTGACTGATTTGTATGACTGACGGGGCAATGTGAGTGAGAGCCTGAAAAGAGAAAAATAACACTTTTGTCTTGTTTGGACTTCATTAATATAGTTTATCAATGTGTTTGTGTTTATGGATAGTTGGTGTGTTATTAATCAAACAGCAACCTCCGGGGCCAAATTGCAACGCAAAGAATGGCCACTTGAGGCTGGCTCTTGGGGGTCCAATTTTACAGCAGAAATAAACATGTTTAAAGCCTGGTACAAAAAACGGTATTGGTCTCTACAGCTAATTATTCCCTTCATGAAAACTGTACAAGGGTTGAATTTTCATATGACTCACCAGCTTGAATGTTATTAAGGCTTAAAACTATGCATAATTAAGGGCACGATTGCTTTAATTGACAGGCGGGTACCCATTGTTGACAAGCAGCAACAACACTGGTTAGGCAATGTAATTATAGCTTAACCCTAGATTCACAGTGTAGCGGTGCAGCTGTTGCTATTTCTGTGTGTTTTCAGTTCATGAAAGTTTATTGTAACATTTAGGTTGCCTAAAAACTCTTTTTCAGTAGTTGGTTATAATAAAAGAACCTCTAGGGAGTCAGATGTTTAATTTTTCTTGTTGTTTGATAAATGGTTTTAAGTCTCTTCTTCACTAAATTAGTATCAGCATTAGTATTAGCACAGGTAACCATAGCTCTAAATGCACCGTGCTTACTAAGCAAGCAGCCAGCATTAGGGTTATTATGGTCACTTGTGGCTCAAAAAAAAAACAAAAAAAAAACTCCAAGATAGTGACATCCAAAATGCCTAAGTCAAGGCTTGAAAACAGGTGTCCATAAACCAATTGGTGACTTCCAGGTGACAACGACCATTATTTTATACAGTCTATGGTTATTATGGATCCCACTGGTTTTATTGGAAAAGCCATGGGACTGTGCTGTGATTGCTATTACTTGTCATGTTCACATTCGAAGGCCTGAGGCAGTTACGGTTAGTGCAAAGAGGTCATGTTCAGGGCTAGTGCTAGCCAATCTCACAGTAGGGGTGTGACTTGCCAAGAAAAATATCCAGGATCCATAATGCATAGTTGATTATGTGGCTGGGCGAATGGCTTAAACATAACATTGCAATATTTTTAGGCTTTATCGCAATACACAATATATATAAGGGCCGTAACGGTACATGTATTTGTGTCGAACCGTTCGGTACGCGGCTTCCGGTTCGGCACGACTCTGTACCGAATTATTGGGCGCAGGATATTATTTTATTTTATTTTGTTTTATTTTAATTCCGTTTTTGCGAGCCGAACCATTTAAAATATCTAGTTCCCCGACGGACATAATTGAGTGACGGACCGAGTCCCGTAAATCTCCGCTTTCACTTTGTGCAGCGCATTCTCGCATTTTGACAACATGGCAAGTGAGCCTGACGAACCTGAAGACCCACCCGCAAACCTTAAGTCCTCCATTTGGGAACACTTTGGTTTCAGGGTAAAATACAAAGATGGAAATAAACAAGTTGACAAGACAAAAGCAGTGTGCCGACACTGCAGAACAGTGGTCGGGTATGTACTTGGAAACACGTCTAACATGGTAACGCATCTAAAGCGACACCACCCGAGTTTGAACGTTAACCGGCACGACTAGAAAAAGCAATCTGGTGCAAACTATGATATCGTCGTCGTTTAAAAAGAAAGAGCGTTTCCCTGACCATCGCGCTAAAGAAATAACCAACGCCATTGGAGTTGAGTAAAATTGTTTAAGCTGCACTTTAGATATAAGCATGTTTTGTTTACTGCACTTTAACAAAGTGGGAAAGCTAAGTAAGTTCCTAGTAAAACTGAATCTGA